GAGCAGACATCGGGCTGCTGCACTCCAGCCTGGGTGACAGAGTGAGATGGAAGGAAGGAAGGAAGGAAGGGAGGGAGGGAAGGAGAGAGGGAGGGAGGGAGGGAAAAGGAGGGAAGGAAGGGAAGAAAGGAAAGAAAGAAAGAAAGAAGAAAGGGAAGGGAAGGAAAGAAAGAAAGAAAAAGAGGAAAGAAGGAAGGAGGGAGGGAGCAAGGGAGGGAAGGAGGGAAGGAGGGAGGGAAAGAAGGAAGGAAGGAAGGAGGGAGGGAGGGAGGGAGGAAGGAAGGAAGGAAGGAAGAAAAGAAGGAAGGAAGGAAGGAGCGAGCGAGGGAGGGAAGGAGGGAGGGAGGGAAAGAAGGAAGGAAGGAAGGAGGGAGGGAGGGAGGGAGGGAGGGAGGGAGGGAGGAAGGAAGGAAGGAAGGAAGGAAGGAAGGAAGGAAGGAAGGAAGGAAGGAAGGAAGGAGCCACCCAGTCTGTAGGATCACTATAGTAGTCCTAGCAAACTAGCACAGCATGACTCCCTCTTCTCATGCCTCCCATCCTGAAGCCAAGAGGCTGGAGAACTCATTGAGCAGATCTTCCCCCTTGGCTGACCATGGAGAGACCTTCCTGCCAGCCTCAGGCACCAGCACCCCTTGGCGGCATTGTGCACCAGAGCACAAAACGGCGCAGTACCACCTTATACCCTGAGAAACTGCTTTGCCCCTCAGCACACAAAAAGGGGGCTCCTGCCCTCCTGCTGCTCACAGACTGAGCCCGAGCTCACTGCCCTGTTGGCTCCCTTCACGGAGCTCTGCCTCTCCTTAGACTTTTCTACTCCAATCCCACTCAGCCTCCTGGGATCTTCAGATCTGATGCTTGGCATCATCTTGCAAACTTGGACTCTGGCTCCCTCCTGCCCTCAAACCCCACTCGGTGTTGCCAGGACCAATGGGTCCTCCCAGTGTCATGAGTGGACCCAGGGAGCTCACAACGTTCACACACTTCCTCAAAGCTCTCCTCACTCCAGACACAACAACTCCGAAAATGTGTCTGGCTTCTCTATTATCTGGCCTCCAACTAAACATTCCCTTTCAGGCCTTCCTCGCCAGGCACAAAGATCCATTCAACTGTGAAGGCAACTTCAACACATTCAACTCCACAGATAAGGTACCATGTGAGTCCCTGCGTGCTGGACTCTGTTCTGAGCCATAGGCTACCAAGATAAACAAGTATTAGCCCACCCCATAAGCCAAGTGCCCAAGTCTCCTCTCTGCCAGGGTGTCCCTAGCATCTACTCAGAGCCTGGCACACAGTGTGGGCTTCCTATGCGTCTAGTGATCAAATTGGCAGACTGAATACGTACACAAAGAACAGCCTTTCTCTCTTAACCCCATGCATTCTTTCAGAGCAAGGCTCCCGAGTCAAGTGAAAGCATTTTAGATTTATTTAGAGCATAATCTCTTGTCAAAGATGATGGGGGAAGGTGAGAAGACCCTGGAGCACTTCTGAGCGCTTTCGGATGTGGATGAAGGCATGGCAGGCACTGCTAATTTCCCCTGAGTGAGTGGGAATTACCCTGTCGCCATTAGCGTCGGATTTCCTGGCCTCCTGGCTCTACCACCGCTCCAGTGTTATGTGAACCTTTATTTTTATATTGTACAGAACACACACTCAGACAAAAAAAAAAAACCAGTAAAGGGGGATACTTTTTCTTAGCTATTGAAAAACACATCTAGGCTTCACAGACCCCCTATTACCGGTAAAATTGTTTTCAGATCTGGCATGTCCTATGTTAAACCGCTTCCTCATTCTTTTTTTTTATGTGCAGCTTTCACTGTGAAATGGTTTTTGTGTCTGGACAATGAAATTGAACTTGCCTAAAGGGCAAGGAACAAAGTATAATCATAAATTGAAAACTTTTCGGTTGGAAAGAGGTCACTGGAGGCAAAGAGATGGTGGGAAACTTTTGTTTTTTTCTGAGATGGAAGCTCACCCTGTCACCCAGGCTGGGTGCAGTGGTTAGATCTAAGCCCACTGCAACCTCTGCCGCCAGTGTTCAAGCAATTCTCCTGTCTTAGCCTCCTGAGTAGCTGAGATCACAGACGCCCGCCACCACACCTGGCTAATTTTTGTATTTTTACTAGAGATGAGGTTTCACCGTGTTGGCCAGGCTTGCCGCAAATGCCTGATCTCACGTGATCCGCTCACCTCAGTCTCCTAAAGTTCTGGGATTACAGGTGTGAGCCACCGTGCTTGGCTGACGGTGGGTGACTTGTAAGATTTAGGTAGCTGCGTCATCATTCTCCCGAGATCCAGCATGAGCAGTCCAGGGAGGAACATCAGACTGGGGGTTAGAAGACCCAAGGTTGATTGACAACCCCACCCCTTCAAAGCTGTGTGACGTTGGAAAAATCACCTCACCTCTCTGATTTTCCTCATTTTATTTTGTTTTTATTTTTATTATATTTCTGCATTTGTAAAATAAAAGTGATATTTATGCCATGTCTCTCATTAGGTCATTGTAAAATTCAGATGAGGCCTTTGCTAAAATGCACCACTCTGTACAAGTAAAGGAAGCATATCAGGAAAGAACATCTGGAGCTTGGGTTGAGATTCCTGCTCTGCCAATGAACGCTTCTGTGTCTGTGGACCTGAGGTGTCACTTTCTCCTTTTAGGCTTCAGTTTCTTCATCTTTTTGTTTGTTTGTTTTGTTTGAGACAGAATGTCACTCAGTCTCCAGGCACCAGGCTGGAGTGCAGTGGCACAATCTCAGCTCACTGCAACCTCTGCCTCCTGGGTTCAAGCAATTCTTCTGCCTCAGCCACCTGAGCAGCTGGGACTATAGGCACGTGCCGCCACACCCAGCTAATTTTTGTATTTTTTTGGTAGAGACGGGGTTTCACCATGTTGGCCAGGATGGTCTCCATCTCTTGACCTGTTGATCCGCCCGCCTCGGCCTCCCAAAGTGCCAGTTTCTTCATCTTAAAATGTAATCAATTAATTCAGCATCTAGGCAGGGGGTGGAGGGGGAGGGCTTCTGCCTTTATGATACATGGAATACCAGATGCCAGGCCTTTTCCCGTTGGAATTCTAGAGGAAGAACCATCTATCTTTGGCTGCCTCACCTAGAGAACCCCAAAACGAGAGAAAGGTCTCCATGCCTCACGTGGCTGAAAGTCCTGCCCTTTTCGGCTGTGACTGCATCCTAAGGAATCCCAGCTTCACCTGGCTCCACCACACACACAGTCCACAGAGTGAGCAAAATCTGCTGCGTATATAAGCCAGATCATGTCACTGACTGGGCTGAAACCCTCAATGCTTAATATACCTCCCACTTACCACAAACCCTAAATTCCTTACTAGGGCCTCTAAGGCCAGTTAAGACCTGCCAATCCCAAAACCCCACCCCACCCCCCGCACCACCCCTGCACCCCCTGCACCACCCCTGCACCCCCCCAACCTCACTCCACTGACCCAGGCTACAGTTACACCTGCCTTCCCATGGTTCCTCAATCCTGCCCTGATCTTTGCTGTCTGAAGGTAATGGCTACCTGCCCTGATCTTTATTGCTCTGAGGGTTATGGTTCTTCCATGGATGCTTTTGTCCCTGCATCCCTTTCCTGTGGCTGCTGTAAGAAGTCATCCCAAACTGGGTGACTTAACAGAAATTTACTATCTCCCAGTTCTGAAGGCTGGAGTTGAAAACTAAGGATTCAGCAGGGCCCCGCTCCACCCAAGGGCTCCAGGGAACCATGGTCCTTTGCCCCTCCCAGCTTCTGGTGGCTTTGGCTTTCCCTGTGGCAGAGTCCCCAGCTCTCTGCCTCTGTCTTCACATGGCCCTATCTTCTGTATCTGTGTCTTCCCCCGCTCTGTCTCTACTTATCACTGGATTTAAGCCCACCTGGACAATCCAGAGTGATTTCACCTTGAGATCCATTTTAATTACCTCTGCAAAGACCCTTTTCCAATCAAGGCCGCTGACACAGCTTCCTGGGAATGCTTGGATAGGACGTGGACATATCTTTCTGTGGGCCACCATTGACCCACAAGCCCCATTGCCACGCATTTTTACTAAGTCAGAAACGACATAGTCACAATCGGGATGGGGCAGGGGGAGGATGGTACTCCTGGCTTCCAGTGGGTAGAGGCCAGAGAAGCTGCCAAACACAGGATGCACAGGATGACTCTCCACAAGAGAGGTTTATCCAGTCCCAAACGTCAGTAGCGCTGAGATAGAGAACACCTGCCTTCCAGCTTTGGCACCTGCTGCTCCCTCTTCCCGGGAGACTAGCCTCACATGCCCGTGGATGATCCAGTCTTGTTACTGCGGCCTCACCACGGCCACCCCATCACCTTATCCACTCACTACTGCAACCTGTGTTTCATTTCCCTCAGTCAGAGCTGCGTCTCAGTGGGAAGCTTGTTTGCCGTGTCTCCCTTTCTCGCCTCCCCAATGCTCCCCACCAACCACAGAAGACTGACTACAAGCTCCACGCGAAAGCTGGATTTTGTCTCTGTCTGAACTACATCTCCACCTCAAGAACAGAGCAGATGCTCTGTGTGCACTTTCTGAATGGAAGAATGAATGAATGAACAAGTGACTATGCCGCAACAGGGTGGGCCCCAGAGGCATCACCCATACCAAACATTGCCAGCACCCTTGAGGGGTTTGAGGGGACTTCAGGAACTGAGAAAGACCATCAGTGAATATACCAAGATGTCCTTTGCCAGAGCGCTTAAGCAATAAATTAAAAAATATATCTTTCCTTCTTTTTCTGGTGAGTTTCAAAATGTGGGTTTCACCAGCGTCTATTCTGTGCCTAGGATGGTAATAACTGATGTGATATTAACAATGAAGCTGAAAGCAAGATACCCAACTTTAACAACCCTGGACTGTGGTTAAGAAGATGAGACCGAACCCGGATAAAACAGTGTCTGATTTGGTGCCGGGCTGAGTGAGGCTAGAGAGAGCAGGCAGCTAGGAAGGAATGGGTGGTGTGGGGAAGTCGTCATCACAGGGGCTTGCTTCAACCGCGCATATTAAAATTAGAATGATACAGAGAAGATTAGCACAGATGCCGTGTAAGAATGGCACGCCAGTTCATGAAGTGTCCCATGTTTTTCTCAGTCTTCACAAGGTCATTTCACTATTAGCGGACTTGCCCCAAGGAAACAGTGTGAGGCAAAGCAAAACAGGTGGCACCAAATGTCTGAAATTGTGATTTTTCACTACAGAAATATTTACGTCAGGTAATTTATAATATAAGAAAGGAGCAGTTACCTGTGGAAAGCATCTTGGAAATGGGGAGGGAGAAGTCATCATAGAAAGGCAGACCCTGGCCTTGACTGGATCGGAATGGATTGGGGGGGTTCCTATTGAGAAGGAGCCTCCAAGGGACCAGCCACATAGTGGTCATCACTGAGAGATGAAGGAAGAAGCCTGGGCCACTTGGGAGCTAGTGAAGAAAAGTCCCCAGGAGAGGGTGCAGGCGTGGATGGGTTTAGGTTGAATTCCATCACTTTCTGTCCTTGATTACCAAGACCAGGGGTGTGTGTTTGACCCATAGATAATACAGGCCCACCGGGGGCTTTCAGTAAGGGAGGGCACCTCAGAAGTGATCTGGGAAGATTGATCTGAGAGAAACAGAATAGCCAGGAAGAAGGAGAGCTTGAAGGGAGGCTGCAGTCCGATTTGCGGGTGATTGCAACCATCCAGGCATGAAATGGTTTACTCTATTGGAATTGCCTATTTATTTCATAAAGAGAAGCAGAAACCTCCTTCACTTTTCCATCCTTGCCTGTCCTGTTGCCTCTCCACTTCTCTGTATTTGGAATCCTCCTCACTTAAACACTCATTTGACAACACACCTGCTCAGGTGATTCTCTTCTCTACAACAACACAGTCATTTCCAATGAGGAAACTGGAGTCACAGAGACGTTGGGAGGGACCGGTCCCACGGAAGAGGCAGCAGAAGGTACACACACATCAACAAGGCTGACAGCTGATGGAGACAGCCATCTCCCTGAAGCCTCAACATCCACATTGCTTGATTTGGTTAAAATCTGTGACCTCGGCACAGCATGAATGCAGCTTAAAAAAAAAAAAAAAAGTCATGCCTCTGTGTGTGTTTCATTTGATTGATTCAAAGAGCAGGTGGAATGCAGAAAAGTGGAGCTCCAGCCTCTGCAGGAAAACGGCAGTGAAAACACAACTACGGAATTGTTCCGGCAGGAAGAGGCTCTGGCTGCCCAAGTAGTGACATGGAAATATTGGTGGAGATTCCAGACAACAGCGGGTTTGATCTATTACGTACGTTCCCAAGTAACCTGGATTTTAAAATGATCTCTGCCAACCACCCATTCCTCAGCTTTGCTATCGAATGACGTCTTGCTTATCAAGTTACTTAAATCAAAGTAGGAAAAAACAAGTATGTCACAGAGCAGTCGCCACAAACAAAAAAATGATAACGAGCCCCAAGCTAGGTGTTTTAATCTAGTAGAACATACTATAGGTACATTTTTGTGCAAAAGCAAGGACAAAAATTTTAGATCTTAAGGCGTGATGTTGTAGAAATCTACGGCAAATGAAAATAATGTATTTACAGATAAGACTTCAGAAGAACAATCTCTTTCAATGCGCACAGCTTAAAAGCAATAGGCTACATGGAGGATAAAAATGATCTGGTGGGTGCAATTAGCTCCTTTATAACCAGGAGGAAATTGCTTCTACTGCGGCTTAATAATAACAGGATATTCTTCTACCATAACAGAATAGATAACATCGGCTCATCAACTGTGTGAGCTAGGTCAGGTGAACAACTATCTCGCTGAACCTCAGTTTCCCTAGTTGTCACATGGGAGTAGATTCTCACAGGATTGTGATGGGAACGAAATGGAATGATTCACACAGGAACTCTCTGCAAAAATCAGCATGCTCATTCAAGGAGGCACTTTTGGATACAACAGAATCAAAAGCAGCTCCAGGCACAGAAGAGGTTATTGATTCCTTGGCCACAGGAGTGAAGTTCAAAGAAGAATTGGGTTTTATTTAATTACTCAAGTTTTGTTCAAACACTTTACGGTTACCTTTGATGCCTCACTTTCTGCTGCACAGCTCAAATGATTATAAATTCTTTTATTTCTTCTTTAAAACATATTCAGAATCTGACCACCTCTTGCCACCTCCACTGCTGGCACCAAGCTTTCATCATCTCTCACCTGGGTCTCTCTGTGCCCACACTTCCCATCTACACCCATCCACAGCTGGCTCTTTCTCAGCCTCGGCCAGACCGTGTCCCTCCTTTGCTCAGAATCCTGCAGGGGGCAGTCTTTTCTGAGATCCGGAATTACTTCTCTAGCCTCATCTTCCACTGAGTTCTGTACACTGGGTTCCAACCTTGCTGGCTTCCCTGCTGCTCCTTGAGCACACCAGGCACCTTCTGCCTCTGGGCCTTGCAATGGATATTTCCTGCATCTGAAATGTTCTTTGCTCAGATACCCGTGTAAGGAACTCGCTCGCCTCTTCCAAGTCCTCTTCTCAAAGAGGCTCATTTTGACCTCCCTACTGAAAACTGGAACCCCCTATCCTGGTCTCCCTTTGTTTGTGTATTTGTTCTTTTTCACAGAACTCATCACTTTCCAACATTACTTGTTATTTTTATTCCTTATTTTCTATCTTTTCACACACATGCGTAAGCACTTGAGTGCTCACATCATGAGGAAGGGATCTTTGGGCATCTTATTCGTGGACGTATTCCATAATGAACCCAAAGTAGGTCCTCAATAAATATTCTTGATTTTTTAAATTTTTTTATTACATTTTAGGTTTTGGGGTACATGTGAAGAACATGCAAGATTGTTGCATAGGTACACACATGGCAGTGTGCTTTGCTGCCTTCCTCCCCTTCACCTGTACAGTGATCAAAAGCTTGGATTCGTGATCCAGATTACCTGCATTTGAATCTGGTTATTCCAATTCCTGACTATAATTGTGGATACTTTACATAATTTCTCTGTGCCTGATTCTCTTCCTGTAAAATGAAACCCCCCTTCTATTGCAGTAATTCCTGTGGAATCATTGCTCCTTGCATTTCAGGTTGGTATATGGTAAACCAGAATGTGGGGCTTCATTCACCATAGTGATGAGTTAGAAGAGGTTTCTAAGGAAAGGTCTGCACATCACACCTCTCCCTGGTTAACCATTTTCTAAATGCCTGCTAATAAATCTATACTCACATATGACAAGCTGTATCAATTAAAATTCCTTGATGAAGCAACATGGGTAAGCCAACTCAAATGTCCATGGTAGGCACAGCTTGACTTGAGGGGTTCTCCCTCTCCCTCTCCTGATCCTGCTTCCCCTGGGTTGGGCAAAATCCTCAGTCGGCTCTTGCTTTATGGTGACAAGATGGCTGCTACAGCTCCAGACTAGACATCATCACAGGCTCTGGTCTAGTGGAAGAGCACAGAGTTCCTTTGCCAGAATGCCCATCTGGGGATCTTGCTCTGTTCTCCTTGTCTCCTAGACCCATCCTTGACTCAATCATTGTAGTCTAAAAATATGATGCTCTGATCAGCTAAAACCTACATCCAATGCTCCCCAACTCAGAGGTGAAGTCCCTCCCAGGGCACACAGACAGGGGGCTGGAGAAAGCAAGACCAGACACAGTTAGCAGCAGAACAATGCACGGGTACCAGAAGCCAGAGATAGAACACGTCCTCTGTTCTGAGAACATGGCCAATCCCCTCCAAAGACTCTTCTCTCCCTAACTCCTTTAGGTTTCACAATCCAGTGAAGCATCCTTCCATAAGAATTCAAAGTTAGTTATGTTTGGACCAAGGACCTCTGGACCCAGTGAAGGAAGACGGGCATCTACAATCTCCTGATGTTAAACATAACCTTGAAGTAAGATGAAACCCAAACACTTGTAACAAAACTCCATATGTGATATGGTTTTGATTTGTCCCCACCCAAATATCATGTTCCATTGTAATACCCAGTGTTGGAGATGGGGCCTAGTGGGAGGTGATGTGCTCATGGGGGCAGTTTCTCATGAATGGTTTAGCACCATCCCCTTGGTGCTGTTCTCATGATAGTGAATGTGTTCTCACGAGATTTCGTTGTTTAAAACAGTGCTTGACACCTCCCCCTCTCTCTCTTGCTCCTTCTGTTCCTGTGTGACGTGCTGCTCCTCTTCACCTTCTGTCATGATTGTAAGTTTCCTGAGGCCTCCCCAGAAGCCAAGTAGATGCCAGCATCATGCTTCCTGTATAGCCTGCAGAACCATGAGTCAATTAAACCTCTTTTCTATGTAAATTACTCAGTGTCAGCTATTTTTTATAGCAATGCAAGAACGGACTAATACAATATGCACAGGAAGACAGCATGTCCTTATGATCCGTCTCCTGTACTTCCTGGTCTAGAGGAATGTGACAAGTTACTTACCCCATCTGTGCCTCAGTTTCCTCATATCTGAAATGGACATCCTACTTTTTGCACACCAAACAGGGCTGCTGTGAAGGTTAAATTGGGATCATACATATAAAGCCCTTCGAACAGTGCCTGGCACATGGCAAAGACTTGCTAAATGTTAACAATTATTACTGTCCTTGTTATTATTAGCAAGGGACCAGTAACCAACTTAGTATAGTACTAAGCCTTGTGACAGGAGACAGATGTGTGCAGCATTATTTGGCCTGAGAGTCCTTTATATCTTCCCAAAAGGAATGTTTTCCTTGAGTGTCAGCTATTGAGACATTTGTAGACAGACTTCTCAGCAAGTCCCACACTGGGTTGGACTCTCCCTAGCTAAAGAGTTAATCCATCTCATCAGTAAATTGCTCTAGCCCTTGTCTGCTCCTAGCTAATAAAAAGAAGGCTGAGTTTACGGTGGTCTAAGATGAGCCAAGTGGCAGATGGAAAAAGATTCATCCCTGAGGGCAATGGCCTGGAGACACTAGAGGAGTTCTAACCTTTGCTCCAACTGTGGTAACCCTGAAGACAAAAAGATAGCACAGACACACCCGAGCAGCTGCAAACCCTTGCTGACCCTTAGCATCCAACAATGAATTGTGTACGCAGGAAATATAATTGCCCTGACACAATTGAATTAAGGCTCTTATC